TACTGTATTCTGGGAAGACTGATCTTGTTCTTCTTAAGAAGTAATCATAACCCAATCTGCCTGTAATTCTAAATTCTAAAAATGATAATATATATCCATTACTCAGCTTTCATCACATAGCAAATTTTGTATTACAGACTTATCCATTATGTTTTGTATTATATTTTTAATCATAAAATCATAGAATAGATTACAGGCCATTTGATCTTTCATGCCTGGGCCAGCTCTCACCAAGAATAATTTAGCTAGTTGCACATCCTTTTCTGGTGCAAATTGTCTTCATTCACATGTTTATCTGATTCCTTTTGAAGACCACATTTCAGACTACCACAACCACAATTTCAGGCAATGTATTTCCTGCTCGTTATGTAAAAAGGAGTTTTTCTTTAGGTCACCTTTAGGTTTGAAGCTGGTTTTCTGAAAATGCAAGTGATTTGGCCTGAAGAAAGATCCATACAATATAAATCACAGATCAATATCTCAACTGACATTCAGCATCAAAACTAACCCTAATCTAAAATTCAAAGTTGGGAATGGCAGAAAAATTTTAAGATTATCATAGAGCTCTGAAATGAGGCAATTCCTTATAATGGATCAGCAAATTTCGAGGCCCCAGTGTTGCTATCATAAGACAGGGACTTACAATTTAATTCAGGGAATATATGTTAGCTTTTTCTGTGTAACCCTATGGTTGTCATGGATTTTTTTTTTTACTCTTATATGAGTGAATAAGTTCATTATGCTGCATCTTGTCCAAGGACAAAACAAATTGTGCATATGTTGTTGACCTGTTTTGAACATGTTACCGATAATCTTCAGTTTAGTTGAACATTCATGAAATTTCCAGGTCAACATTGCGGAGTGAGATTGCTTCACTTATCTTCTAGCATCAAAGAAATTCTGTGCTTTCCTTCCTGCTGGTTAGGTGGATTGGTCATGCTAAATTTCCCATAGTGTCCAGGAATATATAGGTTAGGTGGATTAACCTAAGAAATGTAGGGTTACCTACATTTGGGTTTGGGTTACCTACATACACCTCTGGGTGCGACCCTCTTCAGATGGTCAGTGTGGACTCACTGGGGCAAATGGCCTGCTTCCATACTGTAGGGATTCTATGATTCTAGGTCTCAACAGTACAGTTATGGTATCATTAAACAAAAAGCTTTGTTCACATTATATCAGTTTGTGCGAATAATTGTCCCTGTTCCTTGTTGAATCCATTATTTTGCATGCAATGTGAAATCTTAGTGCTCTTTTCTGGCCAGATAACAAGACCATAAGACATTTCAACAAAAGGAGGCCATTCAGCTCATTGATTCTTTTTCACCGTTCGATGAGGCATACAGTTGTACAGCGCAGAAATAGATCCTTTGGTCTAACTTGTCCATGCTGACCAATTTTCCCAAACTAAACTAATCCCCTTTGCTTGCACTTGGCCCATATCCCTCTAAATCTCCCATAATCATTTACCTGTCCAAGCATGTTTTAAATGTTGTAACTGAACCTGCATCTACCACTTTTTCTGGCAGTTTATTCCACATACGAACCACCCTCTGTGTGTGAAAAGTTGCCCCTCAGGTCCATTTTAAATCTTTCTCCACTCACTTTAAAACTATGTCATCTAAGTTTTGAACTCCCCAAACCTAGGGAAAAGACCTTTGCTGTTTACCATGTCTTTTCTCTTCATGATTTTATAAACCTCTATAAGATCACTCCTCAACGTCCTACACTCCAGTGAAAATAGTGCCAGCTTATCCAGCCTGTACTTTTAATGCAAACCTTCCAGTCCTGGTAACATCCTTGTAAATCTTTACTGTACTATGATTAGCAGTGTTCCGCAGGGATGGTGCTGTGTCCACTGTTGTTTGTCATTTTTATAAACGATTTGGATGATAATATGGGAAGCATGGTTAGTAAGTTTGTGGATGACACCAAAATTGATGGTACAGTAAACAGTGAGGAATGTTATCCAAGATTACAAAGGCATCTTGATCAATTGGGCCAATGGGCCATAGAGTGGCAGGTGGAGTTCAGTTTAGATAAATGTGATGTGTTGTGATTACGGTAAGATGAACAAGGGCAGGACTTACACAGTTAATGGTAGGGCCCTGGGGAGTGTTGTAGAACAGAGAGACCTAGAGATTCAAGTAAATATTTCATTGAAAGTTGCATCACAGGTAGGCAGAGCGATAAAGAAGGCGTTTGACACACTTGCCTTCATTGCTCAGACCATTGAGTATAGGATTTGGGACCTCATGTTGCAGTTGTACAGGGCATTGCTGAGGTCCCTTTTGGGGGACTGTGTACAGTTCTAGTCACCCTACTATAGGAAGGATTTTATTAAGTTGGAGACAAACAATCCTCCACCTCTACCCTCTGTCACCTACCATCAAGCCAATTTTGTATCCGATTGGCAAGCTGTCCCTGAATCTCATGTGATCTAACTTCACTAACCAATCTACCGTGAGTTAATGACAGATCTGATAATCCTCAACTCCACTTTGCTGCCTTTTCCCTCTAACTCTTGATCCCCTTGCTAATTAAAAATGTATCTATCTCAGCCTTGAATACACTTAATGACCCAGCCTTGACAGCCCTCTGTGGGAAAAAAACACAAGAACTTTATCTGTAGCATTCCACACTTACAAAATATTTGCTTAATTCTATATCTTAAAGCCTTAAGCATTTTTCTTTGTTCAGGGTGTGTGGGTGTAATTCCCAGTTGCCCTTGGAAAATGGAAACAGTGTCTTCATGAATAGCTACAGTCTGTATGGTCTAAGTACCCTCACAGTCCTGTTAGTGACTTCCAGTAGGTTTACATAGCATCAATCAGTTTCGAACTTGACAGCTAAGGTTGGGGTGTGGCTGGAGAGGAATTTGCCCTGCACCCATTCCCCTCCTCCCATATCTGTTGACCTTGCTCATCAAAGTGGTAGAAAATTTCTTCACAAGTTCAAATGTGGGAGCTATGAGCTGAAATGTCGGGATCTTGAGCTGCATGGGAGTAGTGGACGTTGTGCAGCTCTGAATAAGTTATTAGAATTAGATCCAGTACTAACGGAGAGGAGCCCACTTACATAGGACCCTTCCTCCCTGCCCCACACTTCAGCAGGTCTCCCTTCCCTATTCCCAGTTCTCACCTAGATGTCATGACAATTTCCAAGCCTCAAAACAGAGTCACAGTGAAACAAAGTTGGGATGTCTTGTGGTAGAGGTCTCCATTTTTGAAAGTGTAATTTTTCTGAATGTATAGGGCAGAATGTTATAGGTGCATGAACATTGTGGGCTATGGAGAGCTTTGTGGCAGAATTGTACAAGAAGAACAGCAGGGTCATTTTTGCTAGACAGTGGCAGGTTACCAATTAATGAAGATTATAGACTTTTAAACATCTTATTAATGGGCACATTTAGCACATACACCAAGCTTGTCATGTTTGTGAGCATACATTGATCAAGTCAAGGGGGATAACTTTCACTCACGGTGCCCCAGCACGGTAAGTCAATGGCAGCCTCCAAAATCAGTTCAGGGGTTCAAAAATTGTCACTTAGCCACTTGGGCTGGTCATATTCAAGATGCTGTCTACAAAAAGGGTGAACAGCTGAATGTTAGATACCCACCACCCATCATGACTCTTTTTGCCCAATTATGGGCTGTTTTCTTCTGGAATGAGATTGAGGCAGGTATTAAGGAAGATGAAAATGGGTGGAGCACCTAATAAAGTTGGTGCAGGTTGAGAGTTATCTTGGGCAAGTGAGTAGGCAATGCAAAGGACCTGAGGGTTGGTTTGGGTGACTGCTACTGAGGAAGATATTATAGGCAGTAGTGAGAATGGTAGACTATGAATCTTGGTGGGAGGTGGGTGCAGTAGCAGAGATAGAATGAGTGTGTGGTATTAGGGAGAAGATTGTGGCATTTACACTGATGCTGTGGAGAAGGTCATTGACCTTCTGCCTTCAGTGTTTGGCATTACTCCAGGTCCTACACTGACCCGAGAGGTAACCTCTGACCAGGCTGGTGTTGTCTGCTGTAATCGCCACTACTCCTGGTCCTGGAGGAAGAGGAAGCACAATTTTTGCACCACCCTTGCCACCAGGGCCTGTAGTCCTTGCCAAAAATGAGGCATAAACTTCCCCTGTCTGCAACGTCCAGGGCAAATGTCAGGGACATTGCAGGGAAACTATAGAGTGACAATGCTTGTCTGGATGCGCTATGGTCTTTTAAAGATGGCACAGGCATTAAGGATGCCAATGAATCCTTGGCTGTCCCAGAAGTGGTGATTTGTTCTGGGAATAGTGCATTTTAAGGTGGGGCTAGAATCAGACTTGAAGGATGCCGTAGCGCCTTAGGGTAGATAATTAATGAGATAGTTTGGTAAAATACAGTACAAAACCTTGCTGGGCCTCATTGTGTAGGGTGACTTATTCCTAAAATTTTCAGTGCAGTACCATTTGAGCATTATTTCCTTGAAGGTTGAAAGACATTCAAATTTGAAAAAAATGGAGTAGGTGTAGAACATATTTTGCATCATTACAAGTACAAATCCAGCTCGGAAAATTTGATGAATATTTGAAAGTTTCATTATTTCAACAGCTCAGAAAGTCACTTTTGTACAGATTTCCTCACATGCAGTCGGACAGACAATAGATGCTGGCCAGCCAGCAATGCCCAAGTCCAACGAGTGAATATCAGAACTGCATGAGGTAGAAAAGTAACAACGAGTAAGGGAAGCATGACTTTAAAAGGGAGACTGAAGATAGTCAAAGAGTTAGGCTTTTTGCAAGGAAGCTTCTGAAAGGCTTTCAGATAAGACAGGGACTTTGTGATTGAATGAAAGTGTTTCACAGCTAACAGAAAACATATTGTTACCTGTTTTTGAAAAGTTATACTTGCGTTTTAGTCTCTGCAATTGAAAAAACAATGCTTTTGCCTTTATACGTACTGTGCAAAAGAAAGGTGTTACCATTTTGTGATACTGTATTACTGTGTTTCTTTTCTCAGCCCAATAGTAGTGGTCAAGTAGTGGGCAAAGTGCCTGGTCATTTTACTTCAGTACTGGCTCCCTCACCTCATCATGGCATGTCCAGACCGGTGACACTTGCCATGTCTTCAGACACTAAACCCATCACTACATCAAGCGAAGGTGAGGCAACATCATCTTCATCATCCAGTAAGTACCGTTAAAATAGATGAGGCATTACCCATGTCATTATATCACTCCATCCTCACCTCGTGATGAAAGGACAAAGTTCACATTCCTGAGGTAAACAGAGTAATATTTGTAGAACTATTTCTCTGAATTAAATACATTTTGTTTTACATATTTTCTTTTGGCTTGTTTGGCTGTCTCAATCATTTGCATTATTAAAACAGAACCCAAATCTATGCAATCACTGTAAAAGAGACAAGAATTTAAGACAGTCAATTTGATTTTCATGACTAATTACCATGAACTTTGGATGGATTTCAAAAAGGGGCTACTTATTTGACCGTTAACGTTTGGCCCTTTCTAAACAATAGACAACGTTGGATCAATTATACTTAAACCCTTGATTTTACAGTTTTAATAAATTATTGCAGCAACTTTGGCTGGTGACAGCTACAAACTACGATTTAAACAGTATTAGGAGTTTTGATTGATCACAGCAAATTTCAAGGGAGCGCTCTCAGACAGTGTTAATGATGAAAATCAGATTGCATTGGATCGTGCTGGTTTTGGCCATCTCCTTCCCAAGTGCTGTGTTAAACTGCCATGGTACGTTTTGTATCTCTCTCCCTGGGTAAAGTTAACAAAGGCTCGCTAATGTGTTTTGTGGAAGACTGTCAGCAATGAAATAGGAGAACAATGTCTTCTTTACAGAAAACCTCTAGACAGCTGCGACTTATGTACTAATTGATTTGCCGTGCCTTTGCAACTTCTCAGCTGTTCAGACCCATATCTGGTCACATGTAGACTACAGGTAGTTGTTCTGTGCCCAAGAATTAAAGGTGAGCGTGCACTGAGTACTATCATTGTATGTCTTTTCGTTTTGAAAGCTCTGCACTTTTGCTGTGAGCTTCAATTGGGCAATTCTACTGAGTGTGTTGAGATTAGTAACATGAATATGTACAAGAGGTTTTCTGACTCAAATTCAGTAAAAACATACATTTCTTGCAGGACAAGAGCTTGTAATTTCTACAGATTTCTTTCCTTCCTGGAGGGAAATTGTTTAAAAGTAGCAATAACTCCTGCAGCAAATTTGCCCAGTGTCTAACAGAGCAGCGCATACCAGCAAAAGCCCAGTTCAATCCCGTCTGAGTTCAGAAAACAACAAATGTCGGAGATCACAGTGGGCCATGCAGCATCCATGGAGAGAGAGCAAGCTAATGTTTCGAGACTGAATGACTTTAGAGTCAAAACATTAGCTTGCTGTCTCTCGGTGGATGCTGCCTGACCTGCTGTGATGTCCAGCATTTGTTGTTTTCACTACAGATTCCAGCATCTGCAGTAATTTGCTCCCATCTGAGTTCAGTTAGCTATTCATACAGTGGTGGGTTGGCGGCATTCCAATTGGCCTCAGTGTTCATGGATGGGGAGATACGTATTAACCATGATACCTCCCCTTCAATGCTATTCAATGACAACTGCGGTAAATGTCGGGTGTATACAAGGCACCAGCTGTGACGCTGCCTATAGTTGAACAGTCTGCCAACATTTCACTGTTAACATTTCCTCATTAATGTTGGCTACTTAGAAGCATAGAATCATACAGTACTTGGGCAAGGTCTTCAAGATATGTGGACTGCACTTGAGGAAGAAGGCAAGGAATCAGAAAAATAAGAGACAACATATAAACGTAAGAAGTAGTAACAGGAATGGGCAATTTAGCCCCTCCAGCCCTCATGTGTAGTTCTCTAGACCAATACTGAAATGAAATAATATAAAGTTTTAAGTATCTATCGCAGACTTTATTGAAAAAAGAAACTTTGATTTAAAAAAAATTACAATGTTCAACTTCCTTTTCACTGGATAGTCCCTCATAACTGCAACATTTATTTCAAGTGCATAACCCCTTCTGAAAACGTACTTGAACTCGTAGTCCCACTTCAAAGAATCTGTAACCACTTGGAGTTGTACATCAAATGGTGAAATGGCAGGCACTCAGCCATAAAATGGACAGTGGCGAAATCAATCCTTCACCAGTAATCCAATGGATGGAAGACCATAGATTTAGATTATGAAATTAATTAGATAGCCAGTGATGATTGTTTTTAAAACTCCATTTAGCCTTATTGAAATATTTAATGGCTGGGTTTTATTAAATGCTTTACAGCTCCCTTTGACAGTTTTTCGTGAGATTTTTGAAACTTATAATGATCTTCGCAGCTCTAGTGATTTTACAATCTCTTTTTGTACATTTGTGCCCAATTTTAATGATCTTAGTTCGCCCAAGCATACTTGACCTCACCCCAAGGGCCTTTAGGGAATGTATCCAAACAGGTTACTTACTTCTCCAAAGTATACTTAGATTATCCAAATGAATCCACAAAGCTCAGACGTGCCCAACCAAGTCAAATCTGTATACGTCACATTTCACACACTTGGGACACTAAAATCAGACCTGAGAGGAGAAACCTGTTGATTTGTATGGACTACTGCCTCCATAAGATATGAGTAACATAATGTAATCCACCTGCCCAGTAAGTGCCATGTTTGGGAGGAGACTTCCAATTCTCAGTCTTGTTCCAGTCTTTGCACTAATGGAGTTGCTGTCCATACTGCAAAACTTCCAGGCCATATTACCTGTTCCACTGAAAGCAGCTAAAAAGTAGATTTGACAAATTCACATTTACTGGTAAAACCTAATTATTGCAGGTGTATTTAAAAACTCCTTCAAAATTCCCACAATCTGTTGATACTATCTGTTAATATGATCCTTTTTTTTCACCTGTATGTGGGGCCACACTACCACCTCTTAAAATTTGATCAAGATGCAGAAGTGTGGTCAAGTTCAGTTAAAACTGGAAAGTTAAACCAGGTTCAGAAGCAAAACTTAAAACAATAAGGACGTACATGAAAGAAAGTGACCCACTTTCCGGTCATTTGATTGGAGCAGACTTTTTTAAATTAAAAATGGAACAATATATTCCAAATTTAAAAAAAACAGTGTTTGTTCAAAAGTTGCATTTGTACTCTTCATTGCTGACTAAACTAATGTACTGATTCCCAATCCTCTCACCCTTAAAAAGTAAAATCACAGCTGTTGGTTTTGTTCAGCAAGTTGGTTTTCCTGAAAGAAGATGTGCTCTTTGTTTCACGTTGATCATGCTTCTCCACTGGTCAGTAGGAACAACAACAGGCAATGACTTTAACCTTTGGAGGTTGAATTGCACTGTGACCTACAATTAAAAGTGCTCTGTGGATTGAAATTTGGAAGTGCAATCTGACAATGACAAAAGCATGAAAAAATCCACTGAAATGTAGGGCGTTAGTCAGTCCTGTGGATTAAGCCATGTCACATTGTAATGGAACACAATTCACTTTGTTAAACTAATGGATATGATGTTCACGTGACATTCTGCTGAGTATATTTTTTTTGGCAGGTGCTAATGCGTTAAGGAGAATGAGTTCATTTCTCCAGCAAGATAGCAGATGAGGAAATTAATCCTGCTAGTAAAAGAAAGACTTCTTCTTGCTGATGCTCGTATTGCCAGGAACAGTATCCAGATATTGTATTTTCAGGGTTGCAATAGTCTTGCTCAGCACTGATTCTATTGACTGAATAGTGTCCCCTTACTTGAAAGGTTTGCCGTATGCAAATGTTTGTATTAATAATGCAATGGAAGGCTTGGATTTTATAGTGATATGAAATATCCAATATTGCTTTGAGTCTAATTGCTGTCTTTGTTTTTGAACAGCCTACACGGGCTCAGGTACGCCCCCGGCCAACCGCCAATTTGTTGGACTTAGCTCCAGGGACCCAGCCTTCCTCCACCAGCAGCAGGTGGGCACCATTCCTGTTATTCTTAAGGCTAACTGTTAGAATGCTCTGGATTCATTGCATTAGCACAGTGTTGATGGTCCAATCCTTTATACTTCAGAAAAACAACTAACAGTGTGAAATCAGAAGGCAAAGTTAACACAGTTCCTGTTTCATACTCAGAAAAAGCAACGTGGCTTCCATGTGAATGTCAGTCCAGCTTCCACTTGCTCACTCAGGTTAAATAACAGTTCACAATTGCACGATTGACCACAGTGTTAAATTGTTTTACAATGTGCTCTGTTACATGGGAGCCTGAGTGGTGGTGACACATGCATATTAAGTACTGTATTCAGTAAATAATCTTAAGAGTGCAAATACTTTCAAAATGGAGGTTCGCTTCAGCTGGCTTTCCCTTTGACCTTAAAAGATGAAGCCATTTTTCACAACTATCTTCATTTTGTCATCAGTTAGGCTTGACAGCAAATTAATTTTCTTTGCACTTCTGAGGGGAGTTGAATTCTGTGTGAAAAGCCAGACTTTTCCATTAGAGATTACAACATGGACATTTCTCCATGAGCTTATCAGCTTTCTTTCACTAAAGTGAGGGATGACCTCAGTTATCCTTCCAAGTGTGATTTAGAAGCAAACTTGACTGTTCAGACATGTGAATTATCAACTCAACAGCCAGCAGCTGCACAGAATTTTCACATTAATTTTATAGCTCATGCCAAGTTCTGAATGATGATTCCCTTCCGTACTGTAAACAAAAAGGATGTGGAAGCTTTAGAGAGGGTGCAGAGGAGATATACCAGGATGCTGCCTGGACTGGAGGGCAAAACGGTAACTCAGTGGTTAGCACTGCTGCCTCACAGCGCCAGGGACCCAGGCTCGATTCCGCCCTTGGGCACCTGTCTGTGTGGAGTTTGCACATTCTCCCCGTGTCTGCATGGGTTTCCTCTGGGTGCTCCGGTTTCCTCCCACAGTCCAAAGATGTGCAGGCTAGATGGATTGGCCATGCTAAATTTCCCATAATTTTCAGGGATGTGTAGATTAGGTGGATTATAGAGGGTGGGTCTGGGTGGGATGGTTTGGGGGTCGGTGTGGACTTGCTGGGCCGAAGGGCGTGTTTCCAGACTGTAGGGATTCTATGATGACGATGAGGTTTTGTGAGGAAAAGTTGAGGGAGCTAGGGCTTTTCTCATTGGAGCGAAGAAGGATGAGAGGTGACTTGATAGAGGTGTACAAGATGTGAGAGGCAGAAATAGAGTGGATACCCAGAGACTTTTTCCCAGGGCGGAAATGACTATTACAAAGGGGCATTATTTTAAGGTGATTGGAGGAAGGTACAGGAGAGATGTCAGAGGTAGGTTCTTTACACAGAGAGTGGTGGGTGTGTGGAACACACTGCCAGTGGTGGTAGTGGAGTCAAATACATTAGGGACATTCAAGCGACACTTGGATAGGTACATGGATGATAGTAAAATTTAGGATATGCAGGGTAGTTTGATTTTAGAGTAGGATAATAGATTGGCACAACATCGTGGGCCAAAGGGCCTGTACTGTGCTGTACTGTTCTATGTTCTATGTCATCAGTTACAGTGAGTAAATTGGAGGAGAAAGAGGTTGTATAGTATTGAACCTGTTTTGACTGAGAGTGAAAGAGAGGGGTGGGGATCCATTTGGTCACCATTTTCAAATCAAGAATAAAAATTAAGGAAGAATGCAAGTCACAGAGATAAACTACAGGCTTTCTTAGCGATGATTTTAGATTTTTTTGTCAATCCAGTACATTAACCTTTAAATAAGTCCCATTTCATTTAAACACTCGAAATATATACTGTGGTTGTAATTACTGTTTACAAACCAATCCTGAATGTTTTTTCTGAAGAAGGGTCTCGGCCCAAAACATCAGCCTTCCTGCTCCTCTGATGCTGTTTGCCTGCTGTGTTCATCCAGCTCCACACCTTGTTATCTCAGATTCTCCAGCATCTGCAGTTCCTACTATCCCTGAATGGAGGGCAGGAATTCATGACTTTGTTGAATCAACATCCCTGTCCCCTGTCTTCAGTTTTTCAGTGATTAGGTCACACTCAATAATCCATTAAATTTGCCTTGGTATCATATTATTGTGGAGCATTGGTATTGATAGGTAAGAACTATATAAGGAGGACACTATTCAACAAAGCATTATACCATTGAAAATATTTTAAGAGGAGACTAAAATGACCAAAAGCTTCTTGAATTGTGGTTGAATTAGAATATCAGACTTAATTGGCACTGCTGTGGTAGATTGTGAAAATACTCTATGGGTGATAACTTACGCTGACATGAAAGCACATGGGTTTGTCCAGGATTGCCTAACCAATGTCTCTTCTAGAATAACCGCATTGAGTACCCATTTTTATATTTCTTCCCAACCGCAAAAACCACAAAGTAATAATTAATGGTTTTGCTTCTCTGTTCTTCTGTCATATCTATTTGCAGCCAGTGCCTGCATTTTCCTTTTCTATTTCTTTGAAATTAAGTTTCCATTTAAACAGTCAGATTTTAAAAATAAAACTGTCACGCTCATCTAGAACTTTTCCTGGGGTTGGATTTTTAATCAGGGAGTGGGAGTCAGGGATGGGGGAGAGTCCTGGGGCCTGGTTGTCATGATGTATTTTAGGAATGCTCATTGCAATCTTTAAAATTCATGAAGGACCAGGGAGAGGACTTGCCATTCAGTCAGTTTTGGTAGCCAGGCTCCCAACCTCACAGGGAAAGAAGAAAGCCATCCAGCACTTAGCATCCAGCATTCCATGGCTGAGCTTAGAGGCCACTGATCTGTAAAAACAAAGTCATTTTTGTACTCTTTGCCCAACATCCACAAACCACCCTGTCTATCAAACCTCCACTCCCTGTCTATCATTCCCCTCACCTCTGACATCTCCCAGTTATCTTCCCATCCTTCCCCTCCTCCCACCATGTCTCTCTCCACCTCCCCCTCACTCTTTCTCACCAACCAGTCCCGTCCCCACCCTGATCTCATCACATTACAATGGATGTCTACATTGCTGGTTAGAGATTTGCGATAACCAAGTTTTCTAACTACAGTTTGGACCCCAGCTTATTTAAAAATATAGGCTGTATCAAACCAAAAGCAAATGAGAGATGATTTGATATTTTAATAAAAGGTGATGGCTGTCATTAATGTTGCTAGAAACATCATAAGGTCAGTTGATCTTGAAACAGATCTGCAGACGGTCATATCTCAATGTGAGCTTGTATAAAGGGTTGATTTTCTCATACAGCCTTCCATGTGGCTCCCAGGGTCAACTTTATCAGGGGGCATTTAGTCAGATGGGAGAATGGTTACTGGGGGTTGGGGAGCACACAGCCCCCGTACAGCCTTCTAACTCCACTACCAATTGAGGCTCTTAACTAGCAAATTAATGCCCAAATGAGGGCTTAAACTGCCTCAGCTGGTGTTAGCTTAGATGCAGAGGAGGGTTTGCCATGCCAACGGGCATGACAGGCACTTCTTGACGTGATTATTTGAGAGACAGAAGGGAGCCCTCACTCAAAAGCACATACTGCCTGATCAAGGCATGTCGCATTTGGAAGTGGAGAGAAATTTGTGACCTGCACCTCATACAAGTGATAGCCTTCACCTTGGCATCTTCGAATGACCATCAGCACTCAGGAGACATGTCCAGATTCTCCCACCCCTCCTCCTCCACCACCACCAATGTCCTAGATTTTAGAAATATGCCCTCCTCTGGCTCATTCAGTGTGGAAAGGTTTCAAGATGCATTGACCCTCCTTGTAAAAAGGCGCCTGTGGGGTGTCTGGCAAGCAACCCAACTCCTAGATAATGACAAAAGAGCCACATTGCCACTTTGGCAGTAATCTATGCTTGTTAAGTACATGATACTCAAAGAGAGGCAATAGTACTGAAATCCTCAACTCAAGATTTTTCCTCCCTAACTCTACCCCTGCAATCTCTTTCAAACATCCCCCTCATTTACTATATTACCTTTTCTCCTGATGAATTCGATACAAGAACCACCCCTGCCTCACTTATTCCTGCTATAATTCTGGTAAATGCACTGGTAAAGAACACAGTTTGTAGCAATGCTCTTTTGTTCACCGATGCCAACAAATATGCTCTTGTGGACAAGTTAACGAATTTGTTTTGATCGTGTTCAGACCATCAGTGCTGTGTGCTTAGCTTGTGGAATTTATTTAATCATGTCAGTAAAGTCAGTAAATTAACAATGTCTTGAATCAGATTGATTCTGAAGAAGTTAATTTTTACACCAAAACACAAAGGAGCTTTGTAATTGACAACTTTGTTATCAGGAGAGTTCATCTTCTTTTGGATAAAATTAAAGCAGCAGCAGAATACAGAGCTATAGAAGCAGGATCTCAAGCCCTCACAAGTTAGGGCTCTGTTGAGAGCTGTTGTCAATGAACTTTTAGTATCTACAGTAACCACAGCAAAAGGTAGCAAAGCAACTCGTAACCAGCAAAAATAGAAGCATTAATGCAGATTTCTGTATCATCTTCTCTCTGGCCACCTCACCCCAACCTCTAGCAAAGATATAAAAATATCTTCAAATTGATCACTTTAATTTTCAAACTCAAATTTTAATGAACATTCAATGGATTAAAGAGACCTTTCTAATAACATACACCTCATACAGAGACAATTAATATGCTTTTTGTTGCTTATTACTGATAAAACTCTAATGAAAATTTCTAATGTATCCAGTCATAATGAAGTCATAATGAAGTGTACAGTGACAAATACACTGTAACTCCCTTCCATGTTATGGAGGCCTCTCAAACAGGCAAATCTATGAGTTAAGAGACTCATAGATGAAATTTCTCTGTTTAAAATTAACCAGATTATTATGAGAAAGTCAGATGCTTTGATTGTCTTTCTCAAATTGTCCAAAGTAGGTAGATTAGTAGTATCTGAAAGATACTAATAGCAGGTAGTATTTGAAAATTCTTTCAAGTTTGAATGATTAGGAAAT